CTTTAAATAATGCATCGGAGCCTTTACCTGTATGTGAAGATGACTATGAGGAAGAAGAGGATGAAGAAGGTAATTATGAAGAAGATGATTATGACCTGAATCAAGAAACTTCAGTACTTCATAAAATCAATGGAACTGTATGCCATCCAAAAGACATATATGCTACAGATCAAGAAGGAAACTTTAAGTGCCCTGCTCTTGGCTGTGTCAGGATATTTAAAAGAATTGGATTTCTAAATAAACATGCAAGAACTGTACATCCAACTGACTTAAATGTGCGGCAAACGGTAATGAAGTGGAGCAAAGGAAAATGTAAATTTTGTCAAAGGCAGTTTGAAGATTCTCAACACTTTATAGATCACCTTAATAGACACAGCTATCCAAATGTGTACTTTTGTTTGCATTTTAATTGCAATGAGTCGTTTAAGCTGCCATTCCAGCTTGCTCAGCACACAAAAAGTCACAGGATATTTCAAGCTCAGTGTAGTTTTCCAGAATGCCATGAGCTGTTTGAAGATCTTCCTCTGCTATATGAACATGAAGCTCAGCACTATTTAAGTAAAACACCAGAATCTTCTGCACAACCAAGTGAAGCAATTCTTTGGGATGTTCTTACAGACTCAAATCCTAATCATCAGGAAAAAGACTCATCTAGTAATGAGAAACAAGCTATTAATCTGCCAGTTTCTGCTAGCAAATCAAGGAAAGATTCTACAGAACCAAAGACATGTATAGAAAGTATGGAAAAGAAAGAAAATTTAGTTCAGAATGGAAATGAACATTCTGATGGTACTGTTTCTGATGTAAGCTTGATAGACCAAAAGATGCCTGACATAGAGCCAAATTCTGAAAATAATTGTAGTATTAGTGAGTTAGTCAATGGACACAGTGAAATAGAGCAGACACCTTTAGTTTCATCAGATCCTGCTTTGAAAATTGATACAAATAGAATCAGGACAGAAAACGGTTCCATTTTACCCAGTGTTGTACCACAAGAACACAGTACCCTGCCAGTATCTCAGGCACCCTCCAAACCAAATGTTACAAGTGAACATACTTCATATGGCTTAATTTTATCAAAGCCATATGTCAGACCATTGCCTCCCAGTTACCTTGATGAACGGTACCTTAGTATGCCAAAACGCAGAAAATTTCTGACTGATAGAATAGATACCTGTTCTGATCAAGACGTTTGTAAAAAATCAATGAAAAGATTGAGATGTGGCAAATGCCTGACCACCTACTGTAATGCAGAAGCACTTGAGGCTCACCTTGCACAAAAGAAATGTCAGACACTCTTTGGATTTGATTCAGATGATGAAAGTAAGTCTTCTATTTTCTTAATAGGTTTATCTATAGAAATAAAAAATGCCATAGGTCTTTGAGGTTTAAAAAATTAATGTTTGTATAGCACTGGTCATAAAGCACCACCTGTACATCCTTTAATCCATGCAAACATTATGAAGTGATGTTACTCATCCTGTTTTATAGAGCAAGCAACTGAAATTCACAAGTAATTTGCATAGGCACAGGCCTATGAACTTGTGGAAGCCAGAATTTGTACACAGGTTTTTCATACTCTGAGCATTATCTTTCAATGTATCTGAAACTTTTCTTCATTTTAAGTTTCATGTAATAAAAGTTCTGGAAACAGGAATTATGATGAAAATGTTTTTCATCTGCATGCCAGAATATAAGCCAAGTGAAGTTGAGCCTCCATTACAACAAGTCAAAAGAATCAGAAAATAACTGAAAAACAAAACTGAGCAAAGGAAGAGCTTGTCTTTCTACTGATATCAATATTCTTTGAATGAGTAAGGATATAAATAAACAGGAATCTTAGAATTCCAGTTGAACATCTATAAAATTTGAATTAATCAAATTTTGTGTTCTGTTTTACAGGTGCCTGATAAAAATGTTTCAGAAAGATCTGTCGATCAATCAGTAGTGTGAAAAAGGCACTACAAGAAAATGCATCATCAGTTTGCTATTTCCCTGATGGCCTTAATTTTAGAGCGGTCTCAGATTACTAAAGATAAAGACAAAGCACATTGTCTAGAATGAACTCAGAGATCTGCTGGTTTAGATTCCAAAAGGGTTATTACAAAACTCCCAAAGTACCAGTTATCCAGAAAACCACATTTTTAAAAAAAGTTCATAATAATAGCAGCATGTTCAGTTTCGCTTGTGTGAGAAACATGTTCAGGCAACTAGTCAAAATGAGAAACCAGCTATGGCCTTACAAAAAGGGAAAAGTTAACCCATTATTTTAAAAAAAGGGAGGGGTTGGTTACAATAAACAACTTAAAGTATTCTACAAATGAGATTTGTTTTCTTGTCATGCATAATCGAATTATGTCCTCCCATTTGGTCAAACATGGTTTAAGGAATCACTGCTATTTGGTTTATTATCATTTAAAAATGGATACATGAAAATAAAACTTGACATATCATCATACTAACCTTTAAAAGATTGTGACTTGTTTCCAGATGATTAAGTAGACAAAGTTCAATGAATAGCATGCCAGCATTGAAAATTAAAAAACTAAAGAAAACAAAATAACAATGCTTTGATAGAACCTTCCGCTTTCTATTTTTGTCATACCAATGAGTTATATTTAAAAGGCAAACAGTGCCAGTTAAATAGAAGAAGTACCATCAATAACTTTGGGGAAGGATATGAGGAATCTAAGATCATTAAAGGCTATCTAGTTGAAAAAAAAACACTGAATTGCAAATTCCTCAATGTGAATAATGGTATAAGCACACTGGGATATTTCTATTTGTATATAGAGTAGCATTAGGACATTGCTTGATGATTCATAGTAAGGTCCCTTAGACATTAATGTGAGTTATCTAAGTATAGTCCTATAAAAATAACTGGCTGTAAAAAAATATGTAAGCTAAGAATCAGGTGAAGAATTCATTGGTCTTATTCACTTAGGAGAGCTAATTATAAAATAAGCCATACTTCTCATGCTTTATTTATTAGTAATGAATTTGGTCTGAACAGTAATTTTTCTATATATATAAAAGGAAATAGTTACACAAAAAAAATTGCACAGCAACACAATAAGATATATTGATGCATTTATTTTCCTTGACGACCAGTAATTTTCCTAAGAAAGATTTTAACATCCAATTGTTAAAATGTTTTTTAAAATACCCTCAGATATGTTCCACTTGTACATTCTCTAAAAGAGGAAGCCTAAAGGCTTCCTTCTACCTAATGTGTTGATCTATAGCAGGGATAAAATGAACAAAAATGCAAAGGCAAATTCTTCAAAAACTGAGCTACTAATGTACCAATGTCAATAAATATTCCGGTTATTCCAACTTATACATTTTTGTTCAAAGCAGATAATCTTATCAGACCCTGCTATTATAAATTTTTGGATATTAAAGCTTCTTGAATGAAGTTACCAAGAAAATGGGACATTTCTTCCAGGGTAGCATTCAGGCTTTATTAAATTAGGATTTGCAGGTCATGATAGATTAAAGATCTAAAAAAAAAGTTCCCACATTTATTTATCATGGACATTCATTACTATGCAATTGATAGTCATAAATCCATTCCAATCAAATGTAGGTTTTTGTTTTTTTATGTAGCCTACATTAGGCTGTGGGATTTATATTTAAATAAACACAATCAGATTTTTAAATTCTTTCAGATCAACTTAAAAAATTTTCCATATTTCCTGATACTAAAAATATAACGAGTTCTATTTCAGTTCGGTCTAATATTCATCATGTAATAAAAAGTCTGTTTGGAAACTAGTTCATTTGAACAATTAAGTTTTTTTGAAATATAATTTCTGCTTTGTATATTTTTCAGAAGTTTAAAATTACAACTTAACATTTTATCACATTTTTAACTCTTTTTGTAAGCTGTAACGATCAACATAAATCCATCTCTGTAAATTATTTTCATGTTTTGCAGTTCATACTAAGATGTTTTAAACGTTCCGCTTGCTATTTTTTGTCTTTAATTTGAGGTTTTATTTCTACTTTTGTGTTGCTAAGGGAAAACTTTCTGAAGGACTGAGGTCAAATCAGTTTATACATAACTAAGTCAAGGAATGGTTTATAAAATTCTATTTGACCACACTGTTCTAACCTGTTTATATACTTCTCAAATAATTGCTATTGAAAGAATGTGTACATTTTATGTATGTTTTATAAGACATGAACTTAAATCATTTTGCTTTTAGAGGGTGCATAAACTTCCAACAGTTCTAATTTGGGATTCAGAAGAAAAGGAAGCTTTCTTCTTCAGATTTTTTTTTTTCTTTTCTGCTCCTTCTATTTTGAGGATATTTTTATCTTACATGGGCCAAGTTTCAATTGTTTGTTTTTAAATAAAAATTTTCTTCAAAAGATTAATAACTTTCTGCTATGTTTCAGTAAGGTCAAGAAAATAGCAAATCTGAATTTTTGCTGCTCAATATTATGAAAGGAGGTAGAAAGGGGGACTCTCCGTGGACAAGGACACTGGTACTTTGGGCTTTAGCCATATTCGTTTTTTAAACCACCAATTATATGAATAGATAATTTATAACATTGAACTTGTTATTCTTCTCAAATCACACTTGAAGGTTCAGCCGTACTCCTTTCATGTTTGGTATAAACTGTTGTATGGATGAGAAACCTAAAAGGGATGATAGTGTTTATTTTTTAATTTATTTGGTACTGTAAAACACCTTTTCAGAATGACTAAATGCTGCATATGCATTTTGGAATTGTTAATATGTGAAAGATTACAGATTCAGCAAGAAAGGAAATTTGTGCTTCCTTGTTGAACATTAAATTATTTTACTTTGCATTTTATAAGAGTACAAATTAAAACTGAGCCATTGAACTGCAATAAATCAACAATAGTGTCTCATTTCAAGAAATTTTTTGTACTGTACATAGATTTGTTCAATAAAACGTCCTTGTTGGTAAAGACGTGTTCAGTTTTATGTAGCAATGCTTCAAAAGGAATGATCAGGCTTAAGGTATATGTTAAATAAGAAATTTCTATTATGTCTCAAGGGAAAGGTATTCCAGTTAATATTACCATATTCTGATTACTGAGTGATTTTAAAAAGAATATAGAAAAAAGGAAAAATCTAAAAGTTTATATAAAATAGACCTTTTTAGAAATTATTTTTACTAATGTCCATATGCAGGAATTACACATTGACAGAATGGTGGTTACTAAAGCCATTTCAGGTAAATGGTTTCAGTGTGAGATAGCGCACTCTGCAAATTCAGCAGGTGGAGGACAAATATGAGAACTCTCAAAAAGCAAGACTGGATGGATTGATCCTCGTTGGTAATTCTTCAAAGATAACCTCTGGTGGAACTTAGATGATGAAGTCACTTGGAAATAAGATGTAAATGATGAAAATTACTACCTACAAAAATATTTCAATGGGAAAATGTCTAAGTCAATTCGTATCTAAAAGGTCTTTGGGCATGAAGGCTCCTACTTTTTTGTTCACTAAAAAAAGAAAAAGCCCTATACTATTTGCTGGTCTGGAACTGGAAAAAATGGGGCTGATGTAGAAAAAGAACCTCTTTGATGTGATCAGATAGCACTGCAAATGAAAGAAAAGATACTGTGTTAAATAGTTATTTGCACATATTACACACTTTGAAAAACACTAAGTTATTGAAGCATTCTAGAGCCGAGATCTAGAATTTAAAGTATATAATTTATGATCATATGATCTTCGACTTAAATGTATTGAGGTATTTAGATAAAATTATTGGGGTGACTTTCCATTTTTCAGAAATGAGGTATTCTGGGAAGCAATTAAATATTACTAAGTAGGCTTCCAAGATAAATTAAGTTGCTTTTCATAGCATAAGATCTATACCAATTTCAAAAATCAACTGATAGCAGACATAGAAGTTTTAGCTATATATCAAGATTTGATATAGAAGCAATCCAATTCTACATGAATAAAAACAAATGGCTAGGAGGTTCATGCCTTATTAAGGGTGCTGCACACTGGAGAAGAAATGGCTTCTCGTTTTACTAATTACTGTGCACCAACTACTTTATATGTGTAACCCCTAATTGTTAAAACATTGTAAGAACATTGCTTTTTAGAAACCAAGGCTCAGAAAGCTGAAATAACTTGAAGTCACACAGCTAATAAGTAGAGAGGTGGAATTGAAAAATCAGGTGTATCCTAAAACCACTCTGCCAACAAATGTAGAGTATGAGTAGATCTAATATGTCCAAGTTGAGAGGGCCAGACTTGCCTGAGGATTAGTGATTTCAGAGACAAAAGATGAAGTCTGCCACAGACATAGCTGATTGATGTTTTATTCTCTCCTACCAGCAGTAATTCTTACAGCGTGGTCTCCTCAGCAGAATCGGGTCACCTGAGAACTCGTTAGAAATGCTAAATTTTGGTAATGGGGCACCCATCTGTCTTTTGACAAGTCCAATTGATTCTGATACATGCTAAGGTTAGAAAACCACATACCTAAAGCAACAAGGTTCTTCGTATTTCCCTAGAAGGTAAACTATTTCCCCTTAAATTCATAGAGCCTTCATAGAAACTCAGTTTCCAAAATAGTTAAAGTCCCCTATTAATAATTACTTAAATTAACTGCTTTTGGATAAATGTGTGTGTGTATTTTTTTTTCTAAATTAAGTTTATTGGGGTAACATTGGTTAATACAATTATATAATTTTCAGGTGTAATAATTTAACATCTGTATATTCTATTGTGTGTTTACCACCCAAATCCAGTTTTCTGAAGCTACCATATATTTGATCCCCTTTACCCACTTCACCCTACCCATACCCCCCTATATTTGACCTCCTTTACTCCATCTACCCACCCCCCACCCTCTGGTTCCTCTGGTAACCACTAGACTTGTAGTCTTTGTCCATGAGTCTGTTTGTTTCTCCTGTTTGTTTGTTGCTTTTAGGTTTATATCTCACATACAAGTGATATCATGTGATTTTCAACTTATTCTGTCTGGCTTATTTCACTTAACATAATTATCTCGAGTTCCATCCATGTTGTCGCAAATGGCTGTATTTCATCTTTTGTTATGGCTGAGTAATATTCCTTCGTATGTTTGTACCACAGCTTCTTTAGCGAATTATCTATCATAGGACATTTCGGTTACTTCCATGTCCTGGTCACTGTGAATAATACTGCTATGAACACTGGTGTGCAAATATCTTTATGGATATGATTTTTTAAGTCTTTGAGGTAAATACCCAGTAGAGGGATTGCTGGATCATATGGTAGATCAATTCTTAGTTTTTTGAGGAACCTCCATACTGTTTTCCATACTGTTTTCCACTTTGCAGTCCCACCAGCAGTGTATGAAGGCTCCTTTTTCTCCGCATCCTCTCCAGCATTTATTACTTGTCCTGTTGATTATAGCCATTCTAACAAGTGCGAGATGGTATATCATTGTGGTTTTGATTTGCATTTCTCTAATAGTGATGTTGAGCATCTTTTCATGTTTGTTGGCCATTTGTATGTCCTCTGGGGAGAAGAAGCTGTTCAGATCTTAGCCCCATTTTTTTATTGGATTGTTTGTGTTTTTTTGTTGTTATTGAGTCATATGAGTTCTTTGTATATTTTGGATCTTAGGCCCTTATCAGAGGCATTGCTTGCAAATATATTTTCCCATTCAGATGGTTGTCTCTTTACCTTGTTGACGACTTTCCTGTGCAGAAGCTTTTTAGTTTGATATAGTCCCATTCATTTATTTTTGCTTTCATTTCCCTTGCCTTTGAGGTCAAATTCATAAAATCCACTTTAAGTCCAATGTCCTTGAGTTTCGTTACTGTTTCCTTCCATGCATTTTATTGTTTCAGGTTTTATATTGAGGTCCTTAATCCATTTTGAGTTAATTTTGCTGTGTGGTGATAGACAACAGTCTACTTTTGTTCTTTTGCAGGTAGCTTTCTAGTTTTCCTAGCACCATTTATTAAAGAGGCTTTCCTTTCTCCACTGTATGTTTTTGGCTTCTTTGTCAAAAATTGTTTGCCCATATAAAAATGGGTCTGCTTCTGGACTCTCAGTTCTGATCCACTGGTCCGTTTGTCTGTTTTGCTGCCAGTACCATGCTGTTTTGATTACTGTCACTTTAGTATAATTTGAAGTGGTCAGAGTGATGCTTCCAGCCTCGTTCCTTTTTCTCAGGATGGCTTTGGCAGTTTGGGGTCTTTTGTGCTTCCATATGAATCTGATGATTTGTTGTTCTTTTTCTTTAAAAAATGCCGATGGGATTTCAATGGAGATTGCATTAAATCTGTAGAATGCTGTAGGTAATATGGTCATTTTAACTATGTTGATTCTTCCAATCCAAGAACACGGAATATCTTTCCATTTCTTTGGATGATTTGATTTCATTTAATAGAGTTTTGTAGTTTTCATTATATAGGTCCTTCACGTTTCGTTAAATTTATTCCTAAGTATTTTATTCTTTTTGTTGCAATTGTGAAAGGAATTATTTTTTCCACTTCTTTTTCTGACACTTCGTTGTTAGAATATAAGAATGCTATGGATTTTTGAACGTTGATATTGTAACCAGAAACTTTACTGTATTTGCTTATTGTTTCTAGTGGTGTTCTTGTGGAGTCTTTAGGGTTTTCTATATAGAGAATCAAGTCATCTGCAAATAGAAACAGTTTGACTTCTTCGTTTCCTATTTGGATGCCTTTTATATCTTTCGCTTGTCTAACTGCACGCGATAGCACCTCCAATGTTATATTGAATAAAAGTGGCAAGAATGGACAGCCTTGTCTTGTTCTTGATCTTAGACGGAAGGTTTTTAGTTTCTCACCATTAAGTATAATGTTGGCTGAGAGTTTGTCATATATGGTGTTGATTATGTTATTTTCCTTCTATAATGATTTTGTGAAGTGTTTTGATCATAAATGGATGCTGTATCTTATTGAAGGCTTTTTCTGCATGTATTAATACGATCATCTGATTCTTATTTTTTAATTTGTTTGTGATGTATCATATTAATCGATTTGCGTATATTCAACCATCCCTATGCCCCTGGGATGAAGCCCACTTGATCATGGTGTATAATCTTTTTAACATATTGCTGTATTCAGTTTGCTAGTATCTTATTTAGGATTTTTGCATGTGTGTTCATGAGAGATACTGGTCTGTAGTTTTCTTTTTTTGTATTATCTTTACCAGGTTTCGGTATCGAAGTAATATTGGCCTCATAAAATGAGTTGGGAAGTATTGCCTCCTCTTCCATATTTTGGAAGAGTTTGAGGAGAATAGGTATTAAATCTTCTCTGAATGTTTAGTAAAATTCACTGCTGAAGCCATCTGGTCTTGGACTTTTACTTTCGTAGTCTTTTGATGATTGTTTCAATTTCCATGCTGCTGATCAGTCTATTTAGATTTTCCACTTCTTTTGATTCAGTCTAAGAAGGTTGTATTTTTCTAAGTCGTGGTCCATTTCTTCTAGTTTATTAAATTTGGTGTTATATATTTTTTCATAGTATTCTTGTATGATCCTTTGTATTTCTGTGATAGCAGTTGTAATTTCCCGTCTTTCATCTATGATTTTGTTTATTTGTGTCCTTTCTCTTTTTTCTATAGTGAATCTAGCCAGGGGTTTGTCAATTTTATTAACCTTCTCAAAGAACCAGCTCTTTGTTGCATTTATTTTTTCTATTGTTTTTTGTGTTTTCAATTTCATTTATTTCTGCTCTAATTTTGATGATTTCTTTCCTTCTGCTGACTTTAGGCTTCATTTGTTCTTCCTTTTCTAGTTTTTTAAGATGAAGCATTAGGTTGTTTATTTGGGCTTGTTCTTGTTTTTGGAGGTAGGCCTGTAATGATGTGAACTTTCCTCTTTTGACCGTTTTTGCAGTGTCCCAAAAGTTTTGATATGTTGTACTATCATTATTATTCGTTTCTACGTATCTCTAGATCTCTTTTTATTTCTTCTCTGACCCAGTTATTCTTCAGTAGGATGTTGTTTAATCTCCATGTATTTGTGGTTCTTCCTGCTTTCTTTTTGCAGTTGATCTCTAGTTTCAAAGCATTATGATCAGAGAAAATGGCTGGTATGGTTTCAACCCTCTTGTATTTGTTGAGGCTATCTCGGTGTCCCAGTATGTGGTCGATTCTTGAGAATGTTCCATTTGCACTAGAGAAGGATGTATAAGCAGCTGTTTTGAGATGGAAGGCTCTGTAAACGTCAGTTATGTCCAGTTGGTCTAATGTGTCATTTAAGGATATTATTTCCTTATTGATTTTGTTTGGATGATCTGTCCATGTCCGGCAGTGGAATATTTAGATCCCCTACTACGATATTGTTTTGGTCTGTTTCTCCTTTTAGTTCTGTTAGTAATTGCTTTACATTCATATTTCAGAGCTCCCTGATTGGGAGCATAGATATTAATAATTGTTATGTTGTCTTGGTGCATGATTCCCTTTATCATTATGAAGTGTCTCTCAGTATCTTTATCTTTTTTATTTTTGAACTCTCTTTTGTCCGATATTAGTAACGCTACTCTCGCTTTTCTCTGAATGCCATTTGCTTGAAACACTTTTCACCCATTCACTTTGAGTCTGTATTTGTC